CTATTCCCTCCCCTCTAACCCATCCTGCCCCCAGTTTACCTAGGAGGAGATCTCATCTATTTCTTCTTCCCAGAGAGATCCATGCAGACCTCTTCGGGTCCTCCTTGTTACCTAGCTTCCCTGGGACTGTGGATTGCAGCCTGGTTATCCTTTGCTTTATTTCTAATGTACTCTTATGAGTGAAGACATCCCATGCAGGAACCCACAAGGAGGGCCTCAGCTAAGATTCCTAGAAATAGTGGAAGGGTACCTGACCTGGCCTTCCCCTGTAATCAGGCTGGTAACTACCCTAATTGTCTTCATAGAGTCTTCATCCAGTAACTGATAAAAGCAGATGCAGAGATCCACAGTCAATCACTGGGTCAAGCTTTGGGAGTCCAGTTGAAGAAAAGGAGGAAGGATTATATGAACAAGGGGGTGGGAGTCAAGATTATGATTGGGAAACCCACAGACAGCTGATTTGAGCTTAAGGGAACTCATGTACTCATGGACAGACAGCTAGGGAATCAGCATGGGGCCAACCTAGACCCTCTGCATCTGGGTGACAGTTGTATAACTTGGTCTGTGGGGCTCCTAGCAGTGGGACCTGTCTCTGGAACATGAGCTGACTCTTTGGAACTTATTTCCTATGGTGGGATGCCTTGTCCAGCCTTGATGCAAGATATCGGGGGAGGAACTTGGTCCTGCCTCAACTTGATAAACCACGCTTTGTTGACTCCCATGGAAGGCCTTACCCTTTCTGAATGGAGACGAAGGAGGAATGGATTGGGGACTCGGGTAGAAGGGAGGCAGGGGAAGGAACAGGAAGAGAAGGGGGAGAGGAAACTGTGGTTGGTATGCAAAATAGATAAATATTAAAATGAAAAAAATAGAGCATGAAGTTGGATTGGCAGAGAAGTGGATGTAGGTCTTGGAAGAGTTGGGGGACATGAATACAATCAAAACACATTATATGAAATTCTGAAAGAATTTATTAAAATACTTTTTAAAAACTCAGTGGGCTAATTGAATATGACTGACTTTCAAACTAATAAGATTGTGTGGACTCCACGAAAAGGCCATGTACTTTGCATATTGTTTTCAAAGGAGTTGTGAGTTGCAGCTTTGATTAATTATATTAATTCTTAAATTTAGAATCAAACTGGAAACTGTTTAGTTCTTGGACTCCTTTCATGTTCTGCGCAAGCCTTCACTGGAAGCCTTGAAAATCATGTTTAGAAACTGAACTGTGTTTTCTTTCTAATCCCCTGGAGACCAACCCCGTGAACTTTATCCTGTGAGGATGATGAAAGAAATGAGTCAGGATATAATTGGAGTTTTGTTGTTGTTGTTTTGTTTTGTTTTGCTTTGCTTTGTTTTTCGTCTGAGTCAAGCCCATGAACTGTAGCTAACACTGGCGATCTTTAAAGCATTCTGAGGGAAGTTGGCAACTTATACACAGATGTAGCAGGAGAGGACAAGGAAGGCTACAGCCACTTGAGGAGAGCCAGTACGTCTGGAACGGAGTGGTGAGGAGCTTTTACTGTCTTCGAGATCTGTCTGATAATCTTGTAAGAGGATTCCACCATATTTTCAAAGAAAAGATTTTAATGAGCGTCTTGGGATGAGAGGTAAGACCTCAAGAGACATGTTCAAACTAAAAATGATGGCTATTGAGCAAGAACTGAATTCAGAAATAAAAGAACACTTTGTTTCCGTGAGCCCTCTCATAGAGCTGGAGAGAGCCAAATTGCTCAGTATAATAAAGAGATGAATATGCAGAGCCTGGGGTGGGAGGAAGGGCGGGTCCAGGAAGTCTATAGTCAGGGGGACAGGGAAGGCGACCACAGAAGTCCCAGGAGCACCACAGCTGAAAGGAAGCTTTGGAGGAGAGAAAAAAAAAGATGATCAGATAGTTGTTACTGTACCACATGTGGCGGAATATCCCTTTCATCTCCCCTGTGGATTCTGTAGCTCTCACTAAGGCCTTTACAAAAGTAGACGTGAGGACCAGCAGTAAACAACATGAAGTCACAGAGAAGTTCTTTGTCGGTGAAGACATACAATTCAAACCAAAGCTACTCCGGGGAGAAGTCTGTTGTTTTCTGGGCTGACATAGTACATGAAGAAAGTGAAAAGAGATATTAACAGGCCTGGGTGAAGGACCAGGGTAATTTTATGAGGGGCCGCGAGAGCAATCTTAAACATTATATACCTTGCCTTGGTGCAAATAGGGAACAGTTAAAAGGATTTGAGGAGAGGAATGATATAATTGGGGTTATAATTTAGAATAATTATTTTGGCAGCAATTAAGAAAATGGGCTGGAGGAAGCAATGCAGGGGTCGAAGGAAACTGTGGCAATCCAGGAGAGATGCTGATGGCATGAACTGGTGAGCTGTGGGGAGAGGAAGAGAGGAGCACACATGCGCACACATGGAGAAGCTAACACTAAAAAGTCTCCATTGGTTACACATGGACCAGGGTTCGGATGTTCTTACAGCTGATGCGTTACAGAGATCTGGGAGCCCTCACTGGAGATAGAGCTCAATGATAGAGTCACGCCTATTATGTGCAAAGTCCAGGGTTTGGATTCTAGCACAATAAAAATAAAATTGTGTAAGATACATGATGCATGGAATTGTATTATATTTAATATAATTATAGAGAAAGAGAAGGATTGTGGACAAAACATCCTGGTTTGCATTGGACCAAGGGACTTCATGTGTTGGAACTTTCCAGAGAAGCCAAGAAAATACTAGGAAAACTAGGATGAGTTTAGGTGCCTTATTGGCACTAAAGTTGTAAGGACAGCATTCAGTTTCTAACTCGGGGTGAAGGCATCATTGATATGGGGAAAGCAAAAACAGACTTAGATACAAATGTTAAGAGGATCCTGAAGTCCAATTTTTAGTCATGTTGGGTATCAGGAGCCTATTGGATATCTAAAAAGAAATATCCAGCAGACAGGCAGACCATATTTTTTTTTACATTCTAGTATTCAAGAGCTGTCTTTAAAATATAATTTAGAAAGCTACTAGATCTCATGTATATGAATGGATAAGATTTCCCAGGGATAGTTTATTTAGAGAAAACAGAATCAGGGGGTGGGAGATGAAGAGAGAACCTAGGGAAACAGCAATATTTGCAACACACATAAAGTTCCCGAGAACAGTTATAATGGTAAGATTTAAAAAAAAAAAAAAACAAGAGAGTGCATAGTCTAGAAGTTAGGGCAAGACAGTATTTGAAGAAGCAAGCTCGGGTCAGAGTCCAGTGCTACAGACAGATCAAGTAAGATAAAGAAGCTGAAAATTATCCTTCAGATTTAACAGCAAAGGGAATCACTATTGATCTTTGAAAAGGCAGTTTTAGAAAAATGGTAGAGAGAAGCCAGACTGAAGAATGAAAGCATATAAGAAAACAGAGATAAAGAAAAAGATTTTTTTTTTCCTCAAAAAACTTTCAAAGAAGGGAAGGTATGAGGAAAGTAGATGAAGAGAGATGTGAGAATGGAGAGGAACACTTTAATGATGGATACATTAGCCTAAGTCCTCAAGGCAGCAGAGCCTGAAGAAGGACTAGCCGCTTTTCTGTGTCTGTGAGATGAGGCCCGGGGAGTGGATGTGAGAGGAGATGAAAATCAAGAAAAATGCAGAACAGTCAGATGAGTGCTGAGCCCCTGCTCGCCCCTTCCCAGCAAGTCAAGAGAGCACATTGTTCTGCCGTTGCATCTGAAGGCTTTGACAGGGAGAGTTGGGGCCCGGGGTGCAGTTTAGTGAGTAGAGGACTTACAAAGCATGCCTAAGGCCTTGGATTCGATACCCAGCATTTCACAGAGCAGGCATGACGGTGCATGTTTGCAATCCCAGCACTCAGATCCAGAAACAAGAGGATCAGAAGTTCCCAGTCAACTGGGGTATGTGACACTCTGTCTCAAATATGTGTATATATAATCACCTCTGAGTAGTTTGCATAAAGGAAGTAGATTGAAAAGTTAGGATGTGGTTTGTATTCTGGAATCTTACTGTTAGAGGTTTACCTCATGAGTAATACTTCCAGGCTATATCCTCAGGCAGTTGTGAGGAAGTCAGAGTCCACACTCATCGATGTTTTTCTTATCCATATCTAGAAGCAGACTAGCATTGGGACACAAGTTTCTGTCCAATAAGGCCAAGGAGACTTCAGCAATTAAATGGGATTGAAATGGAATCAGTAGAAAAGAAGTTCCCAGTTCAGACAAAGATGTATAAAACTAATGGAGATATATCGATATTAAAATAAACTTGGATAGAAATACAGGTCATTACATAAACAACATGAAGGAGATTGCAGAGTCTCCTCATAAACGCTCTCAAAATTCCCTCAGCCTTTGAACATGTGTATTAAGTGTTCACTGTTCTGACAATGACCGATCCGGGCACCAAAGTAAGCCTCCACTGTAGTCCCCTGAACATGAGCTACAGTTCCTCTGCCTTTGTGTGCCATCGACAGGGAGAAAGTGATAGCAGGTGGAATAAGTTTTCACAATCAAAGTCTGTAGAAAATAGCAGTTCTGGTGTCAGAAAGGAATAAAGATTGTTGCTCTGCAACCCTCTGCCGTGCTCCTGCAGGATGCTAGCCGCGTGTCATCATGTGGACTTTTGGAGTTTCTGTAAGATTTGGTATGAACCTTAGTTTTTGTCTAGTGGCTGTATCTGCTAAAACTACTTAAGATTTTTGTTTTTAAGTTTAACTACCTCATCCACAAAATGAAAATAATGCTATGTATTTCTAGTTATTGGAGTCAGCAATGATACATAAGATAATAATACATAGCATAAGACATGCACTGTGCTATCTGTTATTAGTTACTGTGCAGACGGGTTTAATAATGATTACATCACAGAACCATAGGCTGGACATTCTCACAGTACACACACACACACACACACACACACACACACACACACACACGGACACTTCATCAGTGTGGAGGGTCCCACAGACTTGGCTTCTGCAACTCTTGTTACTGTGAACCTACCTCTAAATATGAAGAACTTCTGGGCACAGTTTAGCAAGAAGAAATTGTTCATTCATATCCAAGATTCAAACAATAAAAAAAATGGTCTAAGTGGTATACAAAACGAGTCAGGGCAATGAGCAGAAACTGTAGTCAACTTCTCACAAGGCAATTAGAAAAGGAGAGAAGCCTGGGACTGAGTCTTTAATATCCACCAGGCAGGGAGAGACACCTGACTTCAGAAACCTGGGCTCCAGGACAGGCACCTGAGCCAATCACATGAGTCCAGGGGTCAAGAAGGCTCATCTTTATGTGAAAGAGTGTTTATTACCTTTTTTCAATCAGTGAAGCAGGGAGAACATTACACTGTTTTCTGGAAGTTCAGAGTTAATCCTCTCAGAGGGATTAGAAAGCAGCTTGCCCTGGCAACGAGGGTTCACCAGAATTGAAGACCTTGAATGTCCCCAGCTTCATCAGGATTTTCCAACACGTGCCATTCTTACCCTCAGGCTACCATTCTTGCCCAGTCTGCATTATAAAGCTGGCTGCTGAATTTGTACTGGGATTCAGTCAACCACAGAGTGAGATTTTGAGACTGATTTTCAGCACTCTCAGCCTCTGAGCTGCCAGAGGTGAGGCCTCTTTGATGCCACACTTAGAAGCTTTCAAGGTATTTGAGCAGCATCTTAGCTCATGACTCAAATCCTCGAGCTCACCTTTTTCCTTCCCTACTTTGTCCAGTGACTCTAGGAGAAAGACGGCTCCCACTCTTTTCTCATAATTATAAACAGTAGTTTGTCTAAGTATTGAAAAGTTCCATGTTCCTAGTTACTCAAGGACTCTTCTCTGAAGGCTGGTCAGTGAGGACATCCAATGATGCTGATGACTGTTCGCGTCTCTCCTGCCAGGTTCCGTCCTTGTCTGTCAGGGCTTCTTAACTTATCAGAAGTCATTAGCACCTCTGAACATATTCAGATTAAGCAGCCAGTTCAAGAAACTCCAAAACCAGTTCAGAAAGCTTGTGCTTAAAATTCTATTCCTCTAAAAACATTCTTAACATCAATATTAAATCTATATTAGTCAAGGTTGTCCAGAAAAAGAGACTGACAGAAGTGTGTGTGTGTGTGTGTGTGTGTGTGTGTGTGTGTGTGTGTGTGTTTGAATATGGGAGCAGGAAAAACTGGCTTCCCAAGTGGTCTTCTCTAACTTGAGAATCAGCATTTTTGTTCTATCCAGAGTTGGTTGGATAAGGGTCACTGAGATTAAAGGATATAATCTGTCTATACTAGTTACCAAGAAAAAGTCAGTCTCGCTGAAAATGCCCTCAGAGACATTCCCACCATGATGTTTAGCCACATATCTGGACATCCTATTGCCATTTCAGGTTCACATATAAAATTAACCATCACAGAAAGTAGAATGGCCCAGGGAACGTAACAAACTGCAACTGAATTGCCCAGCCTGTTCACATGTCACATCTACCTGTGACCATACAAAACATGGGGGGATGGTCTATGTCAGTGACAGACTCTATGGTAAGTACAGGGAATGCATAAATACATGGAAAGGTATAAATGACATCAGACAATGTAGAAAAATTACAATCCAAAACATCAGTATAACTTACTTACCCTTAGTATGCTGCGGGAGCGACTTCCGCTGCTTCAGCCAATAGCCGCTGAAATACCAGCCCACTGGGGCGTGGTATATTTCTCTTTAAAAAAAAGAGCAGCAAGCTCGGCTCTGCTCTCTTGGTTCTGGCGCTTGTTTCCGGCTCCTGCTCCAGCGACTAGGCTCCCTTCCTGACGGTTTATCAAGTATGTAAGTTTTACCCCCCAAAATAAATAACCCCTTAAAACATAACTGGTATGTGATTGATTCGCCATTATTAGTAGGACAGAAATGAATTTTATGAGTGATATAAATAGCTAATGCTGATTTGACTCTCAAATTCTACACCTTGACTTTGAAATCACAATAAAAGATTATAAACCTTGATTGCTGAAGGGGGGTTGTCAGTTGTCATACATGTGCCACGCTAGTGGAAGCATTGGAATTAGAGAAAGTTGTGCACGCAGGGGTACAAAGTGCACAGAAATGTCTGTGCCTTCCTTTCGGTGTTGCTGAGAATCTAAGATTTCTCTGAAAAATAAAGTCTTTCAAAATGACAATGTATAAAAAATGTCTAAGCTGGGGAAGACCTTGAGTGATTGTCTTCCATCTCCCTATTTGAGACAACATCACAATAATGTCATCCAGGCAGATGAAGAGCTATGTTACTTTGAAAAGCTCCCGAGGAAAAGATTCTATGACCTTCCAGCATTAACAACGCTCACTGCCAGGAAATTCGACCATCTATAATCTAAGGCTCTCGCGCTGCGGTTAAATCAGTTTCCACTCTGCAGAGAGGAGTCGATAGGGAGTCAGCTGCCCTTCGGTTTCTATGTAGAAACTCTTCATTTGCTGATCCTGGGTAGACTCTCCTGTGTAGTTTTGATTTAGTCTTCACCTTACATCCTTGACCAAGCTGGTTAGCCCTAGTTCTGTGACCTGCCCGTGAATTCACTCATACCCTTATCTGTACTCTCGCCTCACTTTGTTATGTCCCTCCACCAGAGCGCAATTGCAATTTAGGGTAATTACACGTGGGCAGGACTCCCTCCCCACACCTCCTCCTGTCTTATCTGGGTGCCAGTCTCTATCACTGACATGTAATAGGTCCCAGTAAGCAACTGTCAAAGGAAAGAAAGAATGGAATGGCATCTAGATAAACCACTTACTTTAACTCCGCAGACAGGGTTGTGGCTCTGTCAGTTAAATTTCTTTCAATAGTAAATAACAGCTATCAGCTCTGCTTGTTGGAGTGAAGAGGGAGAATGCATCTGGAGATTTCTGGAAAAGTTTTAGAGATGCTAAAGGAGAGCTAAACCAAGGCAGAGGAAAGTTCGCCCCACGTACTTCCTCTCTGAGAGGCTACGGGCTTCTTTCCAGACTTCTGTGATGTGTCTCAGCTCGCAGAACCTTCCAACAATGCTGTCTTCTTTCAACATTTCTAGTTCATAACAGTGACAAACGGATGGTTCTATTTCAGGTCAGGTGTCAGTACTGAACCAAATAGCCTTTGTCCTAAGGGTCGAGATGGCTAACGTGGAAATGGCTGTCAGCCAAAAGTCCAAAAGAGGACAATGTTCTATATCTTAGCATCCCTTAGGGAAGAGAAACCAAGCATCCTGAAGCTACCAAAGAGATGTGTGCTGCAGACAACAGCTGTGCCCTGGAATGCCACTGAGCCATCTGAAAGAACTATGGAAAGAGAAGTGTATTCATTCAACTTTTGGGTGCCAAGGGGTTTTTTTCCTCTTCGATTTTATTGCTTGACTATTTCTATTTTGTTCCTCTGGTACAAAGATTTAAGAATATAAAAGCTTGTCTTGCTGAGCTGAAGTGTAAATTTCCTTTGAACTGTGGATCAATGCTTGAGCTAATGACAAATATTACCACAAGATTTGTGGCCGTCGGAGAAATCTCCCTTCCAGAAATCCAGCACGCTTTATATGTCATTGAATTGGCAGTAACCATGCACCTGGAATACTAAGCATGAGAAACAGAAAGGGAATGGGTTGTGCAAAGTCCCAAGCACCCAAGTGATGCTCAGGATGAATTCCTCATAAGAACACCAGCTATGAAGATGCTGGAAAAGGAGGGGAGGAGCAACTGTCTGCCCACATAGTGATGGTACTTTGAGGGGAAAAAAAATCTAACCGACTGTGAATGAAGTCAAACTCTTTCATTACCCTCGTTTCATCTTGTAATTGCGATAACTCACAAGAGATTAAAAATGACCACAAAATTATTTGCTGCTTTTTCTACTAGGAGCAGTAATTGATTTCCCCACTCCTTGAGCCTGGGCTGACATTGAGATTTTGTTTGACTGAAAAAGGTCAAAATGCTGCGTGAATAAAAGCTTAAACCTCAAGAGAACTTGTGTGCAGAAAAATAAAATATTAGAAAAGGATAAGAAATAATGTGAAGACCTTTAAAATTTTGAAATGTTTGGTACATCGATGTAGGTAAAATAGTCACTGCTCAAATTCAGGGGTCTATTGTCTTTTATTTGGCTCCATTAAAAAAACGTTTGGGGTCAGGGAAGGAGCTCAGTGCGTAAAAACATTTGCTATACAAGAATGAGGACCTGAGTTCAAATACCCAACACACCCAGGACAATCTGGGGATAGCCAAACAGGCCTATAAATCCAGCACTATGGGGGTCAAAGATGGCAGGATTGTTGAGGCTAGTCTCCTGTCTTCTTAGTATCAGGTTTAGTGAGAAATCCTGTCTCAAGAGACTGATTAAGCAGGGCACCTGGATTCCTTCTCTGACCTTTGCACATATGCACCAGCACACACAAGTATGCATACACCACACATGTGCATGAGTACATACCCAAAACAAAAATTTTTAAGGAGTTTAGTGTATCTGTATACCCATGTATAGATACACAGACACAGACATAAGTTTATATCTTCAGATTTATAGGCATCACAAGTTTGATGTCCTGACATTTTGGAGTAATATCCATACTTAGCATCTAGCTAAACCAGGGCTGTTCTTCCTCAGGCTAAGACATCCAAGTAGTTTATAAGATCTTTAAAATGTAAGACCATTTTCAAAATTCTCGCTTTTCGTTTTTGCATCATTTACTGAGAGAATTAAACTGATGTTTCATGTTTCCAGTTCTGTTCTCCTGAGTGAGTTCACTAGAGTTAACTGGGTAGTTGAAATCTATGGACCATCTCCCAGGATGGGGAGACTTGGCTCTCCTCCACTTCATCTTCCTGACTTCCTGATTTGGAGATCTGTCACCAGCCCCTGCTGTGAGATCTTCTTTATTCTGTGTTCCTTTTATCTTTACCCAGAGACTTTCAAGAATCCTTCTTTGTTCCTCCCATCTCCATAGTTACTCTGGTATTTGAATATCTTCCTACGTCTCCTCCTGCTACGGAGGAGTTTATGGATGCTTAGTTTGCATATAGAATGAGAGCTGGGATGCTTAATAATTAGCACAGAAGCAAGCCTACAAATTCCCGCCGCACCCCATATCATATACCTTTCTGTACTCATTATTTTTACTGTTTTTGGTAATGTTCTGACTCTC